TTAAGACACGATGCCATATACCACTAGTTATTAATTTGACTTGTACAAAATACAGAAGACATATAAACATATTTGCATAATCGGAATTAACTGCCAATTCAACTGAACATAGTTTTGATAGTTGGTTGTTTGATACGTGTGTTATATGTTATGATATAGTTCATTTGGTTCAGACAGTATAATTACTAAAGTCCCAACCTTATACTATAACATTTAGTGTTAACTGATATTCGAACTACATATTTTCAAAAGTATATATACTATTATCTGTCTTTATAATTTCTATTAAATACATTGTTCACATCATGCAAGGATGAGAAAATTCGATTATACTAGAGATCATGCATGGCACCCATCATGCGAATCCGACGTGAGATTCTGATTGGATACGCGGATGCTGCTTCTCCCCCGAGCTATTCTATTCGAAACGTACGAATGCAAGGAAACTCATAACGCGAAATTCTTCTCACCGGCAACTCATAAATCCGCGACGAACGAGCAAATCAGATTATAAAATGTACGAAGGGCTTAATCAAAAAAATCTTATCATACGATCAACTCGATAAGAGGTATTGAATGGAAACAGGATCTGATTGTGAAAGCATTTATTAAGTCATCGTAAGTACCTTAGCTTTTCTATGTGATTTTTTTTTAATTTGTAAAATTTACTGACGTTAAATTCTAGAAAATTAGAAAAAAACTATCGTATAACGTAAATACCGTGATATCTATGAATATTTTTTATAAAATTTGTTCTTTCAGGCGAAAGATCCGTACCGTAAAATTCAGAATCACCACAAAAAATTATTACTTTTGTATGAAATAAACTTTTCAAAATTGATGTTCATTTTTCTACGAAATTAGTCTTTAAATCTTTGCTCAGTATATATTGAGATGTGAGGCGCGCCTTTAGCCGCTTTCGGAGTAGTTTAATATATATAATAAAATATCTACGCCAAAAAATATAAAATGAAGTATATTCAGAAAAGACCATGGCAGTATGGTAAAGTGAGGTTATCTGAATTTAAACTCTATATCAATAGTTACATTTGACCTAGAACGATTGGCAGGCTCAAATTAGGAATTTTTAGGAAAAGAATGGATTTGAACACAATGATCACAATAAAAGGTAATTAACTGAATGACTCATGGCACAATGGAATAAAATAACATTCGAATCGAAAGGACAAAAATCGCAAGAAACGTGCATTATGAATGTTTTCAGCCCGGCTTTTTATCTTTGACGGAATTTCTCAATTTTAGTATTGCCCTGAAATTAAACTTTTATACCTCTCTCATCTAATGTAACTGTTTAGAGGGTATATTTTACTTATTTTGTTATTAAGTTTCTAAGGAGAAAACTATTCGTCAAAAAAACCAATGTGCTAATTTTATTAAATTCCCGTAGGGTAATTAACTTCCCGTAGGGTAAGTTATTGTAATCGTCCAAAAATTGAAATTGAAAATTTTTGCATTTCTCGACGTTTTGAAGGTTTCTGAACATTTTGGCATGCCTCAGAAAAAATGGATGTGTGTGTGTGTGTCGTCCACGTTTTCGGGCGCACAGATCATTCGATTTCAATGGTTTAAAAAACATTCGATTTCTATTGATAGGGTGATGTGCTGATTAGTTTTTGGCAAAGGCAGGTCCAGCCGTTACGGAGATACGGAGCAAAGAGTGCAGAAAATACAAATCGAGTTTTTGAGAAAACGGAGCATCCGATTTGAATGATCTAAAAAGCATTCAATTTGTATTGATTGGGAGAAGTGTTTATTAGTTTTTGGCAAAAGCAAGTCAAGCCACTTCAAAGATACAGAGCTAAATATTAACTAAAATCGCAGTTTTTAAGAGAACTAAGCGTCTGATTTGAATGATTCAAAGAACTTTCTGCTTGTTTCAACAAAATAATTTGTTTTGGGAAAAAAATCGTTTAAAATTTTGTGCAAAAATGACTATATAATAAAAAAAGGATGAATGCACGAGTCACTAATAAGTAAAACAAAACAATTTAAATAATTACTTAAACAGAACAAAACTAAATCAATCAAATCCATTTCACCATCATATAATTAGTAGAATCATTTCACAATCAGATTATTCTCCGCAGTATCAATCCGCTTACATTGTTTTAAAAAGTATAAATGTTAAATAAAATAGCAATGCATGCACAAAGGCAATTCAAATTATCCATTGATGATATAAAAAGCAGGAAATTTAATCTTTTATCAAAAGGGATCTGTCGTCAAAGACAATTGGCAAACGATTTTAATTATAGCCGCGAGCTACAATTTATTTTGTCATCGCATACGAAGCACATTCTACGAAACGTATACAAAGAAAAACAATTTTCTCATTACTGCAATATAATTGCGGCAACTAGCCCAGGAAAAGCTTTTGTATGGCAGAGAGAGGTGGCCGGAAGGCAAAAATGATGCAATCTGGGCAATAACACAACGAGGTGACTGCAGAAATTATGTTTATAAAACATGGGGGCTGTGTTTGCCGTGAGAGATTTTCCGGACCTCAAAAGGTGCACGTTTTCCACCCCTTGCATTGGGGAGCAGTTAGGCACGCGCCAACACGTGCGGAGCTTATTTCAACATGGTGCACAAAACGCGACCTATAAAAATGGTAAAGGGAAATGTTCTCAAACCGTTGTAATATTATGTTTTGAACACCTAAACACAAAAAAATTATTGGTAGAATTTGTTTCTCATAGAACCATTCATTTCAAAAGAAAAAAAAACATTCAAATTATTCAGAGAATGCAATCATGCAAATTGTTTGGTTTAAATACCATTCTGTTCTCACAAACGTTGTCATAAATTTATTTTTGGAAAATTGTTTAGAAAACTCTTTTGTAGGCTAATAAAAATATTAGTTAACTAAAATTTATGCAAATGTTCTCGAATCATCATGACATTGTGTTTTGAACACCCAAACACAAAAGGCTGTTGGTAGAAATTGTTTCTCATAGAACCATTCATTTCAAAAGAAAAAAAAAACATTCAAATTATTTAGGGAATGCAATCAAGCAAATTGTTTAATTCAAATAACATTCTATTCTCACAAACGATGTCAAAAATTTATTTTTGGAAAAATGTTTTGGAAACGTGTTTGCAAGCTATTAAAATATTAGTTAGCTAAAATTTACGCAAATGTTCTCAAACTGTTAACCAAATGACAAAACACTAAAAAAAGTTGTAGGTACTAGGTAGATACTGTTTCCCATGAAAAGATTCTTTTAAAAGAAAGGAAAACATACGTGTTATTCAGAGAATAAATCATTCTGTTCTGACAAACGATGTCATAAGTTTATTTTTCGAAAAATAGTTTAAAACGCCTCGCAAACTATTAAAAATATTACTTAGCTAAAATTTATGCATTTCAAAATATCAATTTACCTTTGTTCATACGCCTCATAAATATGCGCAATTCTTTTTGTTGATAATCAAAATTATTTATAAGTTCAAAAATTGTTTTCTAAACATACTTTTTTATGAAATAAATTATTTTGCATATTTCAATTAAGCTTTTGACCTGACTTTACAGGTTTAAAATTGTACTAACAAGGAAAACCTCAGGTTTACTCTTCTGAGATTTTGATGAAACTTCGCTTGGTGATAGAGTTGATGGTCAAAACACACTTTCATAAAAAGTACACATAATCATAAAAAGTAAATAAAATCTTGAAAAATAGACGGCGTACAGTTGTAGCCATGTTAACATATCTCAGTAGCACAGTCAATTTAAGCACTTGCTTCTAATTTTGCACTCGGATTCTTGATAAAAAATTAAAAATGAACAGGTTCAAATCCCGTTAGGTTATAATGTATTTTTTATATTTTTTAAATTATTATTATGTTAAAAATTAATTACTCAATGCACATATTTTGCCATAAAAAAAGAAATTTCAAACAAATCTTTAAGTCCATATATAAGTAATTTCTCGCATATTTTGCCACTGGAAATGATTCCTGTAAACGAAAAGTCTAAAAGGGGTTTTACAGTATTTTATTAGTTTGAGTTATCATTAAAAGTTGAACAGATTTCAAGTTCAATTAAAATTGAATAAATTAAAAATAAATTTTAGAAATGAATAAAATTTCAGAATTACAACATACAACCTAATTGTATTCATTTAACAATTGTTTCCAGGTATGGGAATTTAAATTTATATTATAATTTATTTACCTATAAATATAATGAAATAATTTAATTTATCTGTGAATGTTAAAGTAACGACGTTTAATTTGAACACACAAAGGGCTTTCTCATCAGACCGTAGATCTTACAAAGGATTATAGATTCAGAACGGATTTAGATGCAATGTAATTATTTCCATTGCTATAACGATGGGATAATTAATATGTATTGCATAATATAATATTGTGTAATATCAGATTATTTCTTTGATAAAAGCAGGTTCTAATATTTCACAACTAATAAAAGTTAGTATATTTTTGACATTATTATGTAGAAGGAATTTTCATTTCTCATTTGATTCTAAAAAAATATTTTCGAAATAAGCAAATAATAATTCTTTGCTATTTCATAATACATGAAAAATAAATAATTTTATTCATCAAAGAATAAAAATTATTAGTAAATTTATCTTTCAATTATTTTTTATCGATTTGTAGAAAGATAGTTATGTTTTGAAGCACTGGTAAAGTAGTGAAGTTCAAATGGGGGTTGTATCTAGGGAATAAAACAACCAATATAAGCCTTATCGAATGCAATAATGAAAGGAAAAAAAAACAGTTGAAAAAATATGTAAATATGTTATATATATATATATATATATATATATATATATATATATATATATATAAGTAGTTGTGTAAGAAGCTTAAGGTATAAATGTTGAAACCATTTGCAAAATTTTTACTTTTTCAGCAAAAAAAATAAGCAAATAGTTTTCAGAGTTATTTGAAATCCAATTTGCAAAAAATCCAATTACAATTGTGAAACATAGCATAAATTATTGTATAAATACCTCAAAAAATTAGTACACCAATCCCCTTAATCGATTATTCCGATTTCGTCCGATGCAATTCCTGTAAGAATAAAGAAAATACATGTGTTAGTATAACATGACTATAAAATAATTAAACCTAAGATATAAATAAAAAAAGACTGAATGAGAGAGTTGATGGGTCTCATTGAAGGCTTGATAAAAACATATATAAAAGTTATAAATAATCTACTAAAACGGGTTAGTCAAATTGATTAAAAAACTGTGAGAAAACATTTTAAGATTAGTAAACAATATCGACAAAAATACGTTTGAAAATATAGTAGAACTAACTTTAACACAAATTAAACCAGTACATTTTTAATTAATCTGCAATATTTTTTTAAAACCTCATCAAAATATTCACATGATTGAACACAATGATATTCATCAACGATTTAGCATTCAAGAGAATCGTTTTATCTAAAATATTTACAAATACAGTACTAGTTCAAAGATAATACCTACGCCAAATTATGGTTAGATAACCTAATTGCAAATAATACTATAGTACTGGAATAACCTATTTAACGACCATGAAACAAAAGCCTTAGATCTACCCTGATAAGATACAATGAGAAAGTTAAGAATATAATTGAAAGAACTGAAATTTACTACATGTAAATTTCACTTGCAATTACATCGCAAACTTAGACAAATGCGAGATATTCGCGTAGGAATGTTCAGTTTAATATACCGCGAAGAGAAAAAAATAAACGAGGCCATAAAATAAAGTCAAAAGAAACACATTCGTTAAATTTGTTTCACGAGATATAATAAATAGACGAACGTGCCAAAACGCTGACGAAGCGCTTTGAATCACAAGCCCTTTTATGACTGACGGATAAAAAGTATTATCAATGATGAAAAAGCTCAGTAAATTCGTTGATTCACATTTTTTTCAAAAATGTAAAAAACATGTATAAATAAAAAATCCGTCCATCTCTCATAATATATCTAACTATCTTGAATCCATTGATTATCTATCCAATATATATCAATCTATCTAATATTCATCTATGTATCTCATATCTATCTAATATCCTTCCACCTTATATCTATCTAGTATACATCTAATATCCATCCATATATCTATCTCATATCTATCTAAGATCCATCCATCCTTCTATCTAATATCTTTCTAATATCCATCTATCTAATATTTATTTATGTAAAATATATCTATCTATAAATACACCTTATAAATATATAATTTACTAAATTTAAATAAACCTTGATTTACATTTTTACAAAAATAAAAAAAAACATGTATAAATAAAAAATCCGTCCATCTATCTACCCAATATCCATCCATTATCCATCTCATAATATATCTAACTATCTTGAATCCATTGATTATCTATCCAATATATATCAATCTATCTAATATTCATCTATGCATCTCATATCTATCTAATATCCTTCCACCTTATATCTATCTAGTATACATCTAATATACATCCATCTATCTATCTCAGATCTATCTAAAATCCATCCATCCTTCTATCTAATATCTTTCTAATATCCATCTATCTAATATTTATTTATGTAAAATATATCTATCTATAAATACACCTTATTAATGTATCATTTACTAAATTTAAATAAACATTGATTATCAGTTTTAGAGCTTTTTTCCAATTGGAAAATCCTGGTAGATTTCCGACATTTCGGCTTCTGCAAAAAAAAATTAGACCCTATAATGAAACTTTTTGTAACGCATCATTGTTGTGTAATTATATTTAGTAAGAAAAAGATTGTTTCGTGCCCTTAAAATCTTAAGAAAGATTAACGACTTTCAGTAAGCCGCGGATAATTAAAATTAATCGTTTTTCGTTTGGGGTTTTATGAAAATTTTCACGCAAGAGAAAACAGTGAATGCTATAAAATTATGGTAAAAATATAATGAAGCGTAATATTTTTCAGCAATTAAAAGTAAATTAACTTAAAGTAAAGACTTTGCGAAATAAGCAAGAAATAATTATGTAACTTCTATAAATGAAAAATGGGGTAAAAAGAGCAACTAAGCCTTTACACTGACAAAGGTATATCAATAAGAAAATAATAAATAAAAAATAATTTAAGTTCAAGAAAGCAGCAAGAGATTAATTTTATTAATTTAATTAATAATAATTATTCCAACTCTGCTGATGAATATTTCAGACGAAGTACTAGATCAAGGTTATATACAGTGTGATTTTTATAAAAAATGGGAATGAAAAAGTTTATTAAAAATAAAGATATTAGAATTGTTTGCCCCCTAGATTATCTATAATTGGACCCTTGTGCCTCGCCCTATCCTATCAGAATTTGATATATGTAATTTTCTTATAAACCTGTTAAATAAATGTGCATAAAATCGAATGCACCTGTTAAAATCGTTTTATAAATTATAAGGTCTATGTTAGGCACGTAACGTATGACATATGACATTTAGGGACCGATCCTGCCGCATAATAAAAAAATGTTATGGCAAGGCCATGTTATGAAGAACGTATTTCTCAGGTTGTCAGATAGAAAACCTAAACTAAAAACCGCACAAATGTCAAAAAATGATCTTAGATAACAGGGTCTTTCTGACTCAGCTCCATAACATACGAGTAACGTTGCAGTTTATGTGTAAAACGCCTGAATGCACAGCAAATACATGACATTTTGACAGTATTCAGTATGATTCAGTAGCATAATGTATGGAAGTTGGAGCGCAAAGTGGCCTTGCCATAACATTTTTCTGTTATGCGGCAGAATCGATCCTTTAATCAATCGGGAGATCCGCGATTGTCGGCAACGCTCAACAAATGACGTCACAGTGATTTCTATGTTTTGTGCACTATATACAACGGAAAATATATGAGGACTAGGAGTCCATGTAGTGTAATATATGTCCTAAAGTAAACACATATGTATTATAAGGACTATGAATCCAAAGCAAGAAAACTTCTGTATTACATTGTGGAAATTCGAGTCACCTTTGCATGGATCATAAAAACAATATCGTCATGGTAAATGTAAATGTAAATTTTAACTTTATATCAAAGTTTATTCATAATCATTATTTCTATACCACAAAATTACAATTTTTGAAATAAAATTGCGATCTTCAGGAATTATTATTAGATAAGTTGACATATAACCTTTCTACAATGAATATAAAAAGTAACTTATTTCTAATTACAAACTTCTTTCACTCTGCCCAAAATTTATAGGAAACGAATCATCATCTTGGAATGAAATTTATTTCCGAGGCGTGCCGGATCTCGAATAGGAAAAAATAAACAATGATTGAGGCAATGGTATTTCCTTATTTCATCCAATTCCCCTAACATAAGGCTAGAATAAGTTATTTGCTCGTCCACCATCGAGTACTTTGTTGTACGCTCCAAGTACGTAACGAAGGGCGAATTGCAGAAATCAATAAGTCCTCTCCCTCCCGAGAAGAGGATAGTAAGGCATATCAAAGAAGGACGAGAGCACGGAGCGGAACGAATAACGAGCAAATCGTATTATAAAGGGACTCATTCGGAATAAATAGTATTAATCATTAGAAGAAATAAAGAAATTCAAAGCTGTTGGAGGATAAAGATTATGTAATAATATTGAGCTATATTGTAATTGTGACTTTAAATTTATTTTTCTCATTTTATTATTTTTGTTGTTACGAATCCATCATGCGCTTATTACAGCCAAAAATGAGCAAATTGTATTATAAAGGTACTCACTATGAATAAATAGTATTATCATTATAAAACAGACTAACTGAGTATCGTAATTGACATTTTTGTGTTTTTAATTTATTTTACTTGTTATTTGTGGTGACGAATCCAGACGAGTACTGAAGCCAATAATGAGCAAATCGTATCATAAGGGGACTCATTCGGAATAATTAGTATTAATCATTATAAGAATGAAAGAAATTCGCCACTATTAAACTATAAAGATTATGTAATTGCAATGTATTGCAATTGTGTAATTGTCATTTTGAATTTATTTATTTTATTTTATTATTTTTAGTTATGAATACAGGCGATTATTAAAGCTAAATAATGAGCAGATATCATAAAGGTGGAATTAATAGTATTCTCATTAAAAAAAAGAGAACTTATGAAGTATTGCAATTGACGTGTTTATGTTTTTATTTTATTTGACTTTTTATTTGGGGTTATGAATCCAAGTTCTTACTAAATCTAATGGTGAGCAAATCGTATTACAAAGAGAAATTTCGGAAACTCATTCGGAAAAAATAGAATTAATCATTATAACAAATAGAGAAATTTACCGCTATTGGAGGATATAAAGATTATGTAATAATGTTTTGCTATATTGTAATTGAGACTCTGATTTTTTTTTCATTTTTTACTTATTAGTTGTAGTTACGAATCCAGGCGCTTATTACAGCCAAAAATGAGCAAATTGTATTATAAAAGTTATCACTATGAATTAATAGTATTATAATTATAAAAATAGACTAACTGAGTATCATAATTGACGTTTCTATGTTTTTAATTTATTTTTCTTTTTATTTATAGTTATGAATCCAGACGAGTACTGAAGCCAATAATTAGCAAATCGTATCGTCAAAGAGACTCATTCGGAATAAATAGTATTAATCATTAGAAGAATGAAAGAAGTTCGTCACTATTGAAGGATAAAGATTATATAATAATGTTATGCTATATTGTATTAGTCACTTTAAATTTATTTCATTTTATTATTTTTGGTTATGAATCCAGGTGATTATTAAAGCCAAATAATACGCAGAGATCATACAGGTGAACTTATTTGGAATAAATAGTATTATAACATTATAAAAAATAGAAAACTTATGAAATATTGCAATTGACGTTTTTATGATTTTAATTTATTTTATTTTTTATTTGTGGTTACGAATCCAAACGAGTACTGAAGCCAATAATGAGCAAATCGTATCATAAAGAGACTCATTCGGAATAAATAGTATTAATCATTAGAAGAAATAGAGAAATTCACAGTTATTGGAGGATGAAGATTTTGTAATAATATTGGAATATATTGTAATTGTGATTT